TGACGGCCTGGAACCTGATCCTTCAGTCCCGCCCATTGACAACACCGGCGAACAGCTTCTCAAACATGCGCGCGTCTACACGCTGGCTCAGAAGCTTGGGTTGCCTGACCTCAAGACACTGGCGCATTCAAAGATACATCGTATCAACTCGACCGCTGTGGGGGAGATCGCATACGCACGTTATGTGTATGGCAACACACCTTCGGACGATGTCACCATCCGCAGGCCTGTTGCTGCGTTCTGGGCCACCCGGTCACACGTTTTGCGCCACGAAGCCGAGTACGAATTCAAGGCAATGTGTCTGGAGTACCCACAGTTTGGCTTTGACGTTCTGAATCTGGTGCTGGATCAGCGGGAGAAGAGAGCGAGAGAGCGAGAGGAGGAGGGCACTCCGGGAGGCACCAAAGGCAGGAAGAGGGCGCGCCCCAGCGTCAACATTTAACCGGCCCATCTTCGCTGTTTTCCACCAAACAATGACGTTTTGACGGTTCAACTTTGGCGACGTTTACGATCAACATGTCTACCCGGTGCATTAATGTCTGCTCCTTTCCAGGCTCACTTTCGAGGGGTAGTCTCAGGTCTTTATATTTTACTAAGGGCAGGAGACGAGAAAGAAAGAAACCATCTGTAAAACTAGTTCAGGGGGAGTTTACCACCATTTCGATGTAAGAGCACTGCAACGATGCTCTCTCTATCGTTAATCCGTACGATACCCAAATAATAAAAGGCAAAAGCCCATAATTACTCCATACATCGCTCCCAATCTGGAGGCCGAGAACCGCCCGTCTGGCTCAGGCACAGTCCGTGGGCTGCAGGAAGCATGCACGGCTCCACTCACCCGTGCTTCCTGTCGAGCTTTTGGAATAAAAGAATAATGGCAGTCTGACAGAAAGTACATGCCCTTTAAATTAATGAGGATAAGGGTACCATGATGCCTAATGGTGGTTATCATTGAGTCAATAGTGAATGGCTCCTCATTATTTCTTGTCAGACTGTGCCACTTATTTTGCGCTCGGGTCCGTCAAAGCGATTGCGGGGTTTCCGTCTCGCCGCAGGCTCCCACGACGGGAATCCAACTCCAAGACCCAGCCTTCCGGCACCGGCCTGGAACACTTATTATGTTGTACCTGGTGAGCTGGGGCCCGAGGCTCTTACTTTCTACCAACGGTTTCGCCTGCAGATTTCCTCTGCTCTTCGATTTTTGGTTGATCTTGTGCTTGGTGTCTCTGTACAGTTTCACGTAAAGATATTCTGCGCCGCTTCTTGCAGACCATGAGTCTTTGCGATCGGGTTGCACGCAGCTTTGCTCACGCTCTCTTGTTCGATCCTTAAACCACCGTCCGATTTACAACTTGTCGGCAAATGTCAGATCTCGCAGATGAGCCTGACCGTGCAGGCAGTGACATGAACAACTCCTTCGACAATCGGGGTTCGCTGCCAAACAACAGAGTACACGAAGTCACTTCGCCAACTGCGCCCCGCAAGTCGAACCAGACCTCGCCTTCTACCGATCAGCCAAAGAAGAAGCGCAAGGTGAACCATGGTCTGTACACGCTCCATGTAGTTTTAGCGATGGCCCACGCTGACACGTTTCTTCAGCATGCGTATATTGTCGCCGTTCGGTAAGCTCCTTTGACCTCTGAGACGCGGAAGTACCGAGATTCGAGGACATGGCAAGACATAGTATGGGCTGACTGCTTGTTTTTGGTGGGATACACAGCATATGACTTGCGATTCTGTACGACTCCCTGGCGCTCAATTTCGAGCTCAACACCATCCACTCAAATCCTGTTTGGCTAACGCAACCCTCCCATTGGGGAACTGTGTCTCAGGATCGACCTTGTAAACGCTGCATCAAGAGAAACATCGGCCACCTGTGTCATGATGAACCAAGAGAGGGACATGGCTATCACAAAAAGTCCAAGACCGACTCAGACACTGCTGCGCCGGACGAGCAGTCTCCTCCACGGGATGATTTTCCTACGGCTCCAAGCTTACCAGGTCCCGCATTGATGGACGACTCTGCTCCTAATCTACTGCAGGAGGACAATATTGGACTGAGACCATCCACAAATGACACCATGGCCGTCTCTAATCCGAGCGCAGCTGCACCAAACGCTGGCATCAATGGTAATGCTCACCCCCGTAAGTGTGTCTCAATCTTTGAGGGGAAAGCGGTGGTCCCTAATGCCGTGCAGACTTCAGTTATAATGATCCATGGACCGGAGTCCAAAATCGATTTCATGATATGCAGGCGTTTCATCCCAACTATATGTTCAACGCAAACGAGGTCACTGATGAATTCAACCTGCTAAACGACTTCCTCAGCAACAGCCTATTTGAAGAGACCGGAATGTATTCCACTGATGAATTCCAGGGTCCCTTCAATGATCCTTCGTTCATGAACTCGATGGCAGCTTCTTCTTTCCCGACCTCCGGAGTCGAACCCATCCTTTCGCAGGAGCACGTCAACAGCGTCCATGCAACCACTCAGAACAACGCGGCTCAAGCAGCGCTGATATCTAGGCCGTCGAGTGTAAAGCCAGCATCGGACAAAGCGCGAGAAAAGTATTACATGATGGCTGCCGATCCGACGGGCGCTGAACCTCCGGAGGAGCGCATGCAAAAGTTACTCAAAGCAAAATACGATGCAGGAATGTTAAGACCTTTCAATTACGTGAATGGATATGCCCGGCTCAACAAGTACATGGAAAAGAACATGAAGCCACATTCGCGTCACAAGATCTTGATGCAATTGGACCAGTTCCGGCCGAAATTTAGAGAGAGAATGCAGAGCTTGACAGATATTGAATTGGTTCTGGTGGAGATGTGGTTCGAAAGGAGTTTGATGGAGTACGACAGAATTTTCGCTAGCATGGCCATTCCAGCCTGCTGTTGGAGAAGGACGGGTGAAATTTTCAGAGGAAATAAGGAGATGGCAGAGTTGATTCAGGTACCCATCGAATCACTTCGTGATGTGAGTGAGAGATGCATCGGTCGGCTGTGACTACGAACTGATAGTAGCATACAGGGAAAGCTTGCCATCCACGAGATCATCGTCGAAGACCAGCTGGTCAGCTACTGGGAGAAGTTCTGTGCCATTTGCTTCGACCAGCAGCAAAAGGCTATGCTCACCAGCTGTACACTTCGCTGTCCCACGGCAGGCGCTGACGTCGTGGACATTCACTGCTGTTTCTCCTTCACCATTCGAAGAGATAACCACAATATGTAAGTCTCGCCACCCTGGTAGCTTTTCCCTCTCGCTAAGACATTCAACACAGACCCTCGCTGATTGTGGGCAATTTCTTGCCCATGAGTCCTGGGAAACGTTGAAGTACAGGACCTCTGTTTTAGTGTATAGCAGCCTCAGATGATGCAATGTTACGATTTTTGAGTATCTTCCAAGTACAACACACCATGGTTAATAGCAGGCCTTGTGAAGACTGCGGGTGATGAAATCACGTGTCAGCCACACTCTTCTTCCTTCTCATGACTGAAAGCCCATTGACTTTCCACGGGTGTATATTCGACGCTTCTTACAGGCGGTCCAGATCTCTCAAATGTTGCCAAAGGAGCAAGGGAGTACGGCCGGATCCATTCTTGGTGTGTTCGCCATCAGTCTCGCTAGGGAAACTGACTGATGATGAATTAGAATTCACCTCCCACCTTGAAGAAACCGTCGTCAACCAAGGAGTTACCCTACCGGCTGAAGAATTTCCTGACCTCTCAATTTACTTGGAAGCCCTCCCTCTCCCACGCAAAGCGCTTACTCCAAGCCAGCGGACAGAGTTCGATCGCAGAGGTGTTGCTCTCTGGAACACATGCTGCAGACTGAGTCGGGGCGAAGGACGTCCGCAGCTGCCCGTCAACCTGGCCAGGGGTGATTATCATCAACCTCCCAGATCTCCACATCTGACCGATGCCCCAGTCCGAGTCTTCTCGTATCTCCTCCTAGAAAGTTCAGCGGGTTCGAAATGGAAGAGTGCACACATTACTGTCCCAGACTTGGAATTCAACTTACTCAACTACAGGCCAACATCGATTATTTCAAATCGCACTCAGGGCTAGCAGAAGCTGTCTTGGTAGGGTACTCTGGGCTGTTGGTATCACTTTGCCTGACAATCATCCTTTCGATAGAAGCTGGCCTGGTTGACCTCGCCTCCAAGGTCATTGAACAGCTGGCTGTCAAATCGGAAGATCTCCTTCAAAGAGCCAGTCATGATGACCTCGATATTGAGAAAGTAAATGGAAGCTTGACTGCACAGTACTTGTTAATGCGCATCACATTGGTCTGTGTACACTCCAGCCGTTTGGCGGGCATGAACTAAAGAAACAGGCGTGGAAACAAGGACGAACAGAGCTAGCCGAGCATTTCTACAGCCAATTCGAGGCATCCAAATCCCAGTTGGATTCCGTTCGCATTGGACAAGCACTTGACCTATGCTACGAGATCGGCAATGATCAGCTGAGTCGGAAAAAATACACTGTCGCTGCGCAATGGCTCAGAAGGGGCTGCCAGCTTGCAAATGAACCTGAAACGCAGGGTGAAGATGCGGATGTCTTGGAACTAAGGTTTACCCTCATACATACTTGCGGTGGGAATCTCTCCTGTTCACGTTTCCGACGACACTTATGCGTTTAGCAGTGCGAGCTCTTTTAGCACTTAAGGAGGGGGAACCCGGACAGGAGGCTTTTCAACTCCTCCAGGTCCTTCGAGAGGTAAGTATCCTGATTCTAAATGAGGGTATGAACGAATGTTCAAGGCTTTTAGGAGTACAGTCACAGGCTTCCCGTCATCCTGCTACAATTAGAGGTCGCTGCAAAAGACTCATGTACCAATCCGGACGCTTTCTCAGCTGGTAAGACCATTTCCCACTGAAATTGACGATGATCCTCTCTGATTTACGAAGATTTATTGAGCGTTGTCCGATCGGCTCACCTGATCCACTCGAATCATAAGCTGTGAGTTAGCCCTTCAGGATCACGGTGAGTGTTTGCTCATGGCCTTTAGAATCTTGCACTACGTGCATCATCTAAAATCTTTGAGGTATGAATGGCAAGTAATGAAGGTGTGAAACTGATCGAACTCAGTACCGCACACGCAATTCGAGTATTGGAGTCGTATATTGTCCTGAGACTTGCTTCAAGCGACGAACACGCATGGACCGAAAAGGCCATCATCACATTGATCTGGCTCATAACAGCGGAAGGCGAGGGTCAGAGCAGCGTCGACATGCTGTTTCTTGAAGGGACATTCGAGAAGATCTACCGAGCCTGGAATAAAGCTCTCAGTGCAGAGGCTACGCACGGTGCATTGATTGTAGGTCTCGATCTTGCTATGAACAGAGATCCTACTGACAATACAGCTTTTCTGGAAGCGGATCGAGCATACCTTCGACCACGGATTGAAAGAGATCACTATTAAATGGTGCCAAGTTGCATTGCATCAACTGTTTTGTAAGGCTGGAGATCACAACGTGGGCAAAATTGAAAGGTGTGAGAGTTATCACGTCAATTCCGTCTTGTCACTCATTGGTATTTGGTCTCAGGAGAATAGTCAAATGTCAAATCGATCTCCGCAACTTTGAAGCCGCTTTTGCAGCCCTCGAAACGATGTCGCCAGCGAGAAAACAGCATCCCCTTTCTCGATACCTGCGATACTGTCTCGCTCTGCGGCGTGGGGATGAAGTTGACGGTAAGACCACCTGCCAATAGCCGTGGAATCCATGAGAATAATAGCTGGACAGCGAGATCAACACTGGCCTCTCTTGCCACAGTCCATGATGACCGGAACAAGCTCTTGTTTGCCGCCGTTTCGGAAGCAACGCAATATGGTAGCAAATTACAGGGAGCGCAACTCCTCCAGCGCGTTCTGGACAAATACAACGACAACCTGCCACCGGAGATAGATGCATCTGCCCTTCTGAGGTAAGACAGGACCACACAATGTATCGCCCTGTCGTTAATTTGAGAAGATGTACAGCTCGCCTTCTCCTTCTAGCAGTTTCAGAAGCCGACGACCTCGATGAAGAACTTCTGTCTCGGTTATGCGGCATCTTCAAGTCCGGTGCGAGATCCAAGAGCAGCACAAAGTGACCTTAGCTGACACAGACCAGCGGTGTCCTTTACGCAAAAGCAACAGGTTAGCGAAGAAACGACCATGGAACATCGACTACAAGAAAGCAGGTGGTTTGAGAAGACCAGCTACAACACTGCCGTACAATACCTCCGGTCATGGCCGACGAAATATGTCATTGACCTTTTGCACTATTCGTGCCAAGTAAGTGTCTACAGGTCTATGCATTTTTCGTTCTCTCCGACTGACCGCCCGCCCATCTAGATGCACTTGCCCACGCATGCTCCAAGCCAGGTTCAATATGAGAAGCACATCCATGAGACTGGTGCAAAGTACATCCAAGCGATCCTGTACACTGTCCAGGCGAGGTCGGCAGCCACGTTGCCTACAGCAGAAGACATTCCTAAGACGGCGTATTCGGGAAAGGCACCACCACATTCGCCGACAGAAATCAAGTCTACTTTGTACAGAAATGTCTTTGCCACGTACTCGGAAATTCGAACTCATCTGAACGCCTTACGTGAGGGCTCCAGTACAGGCCTCGTCGAGCAGGAGGTTCTCGAGGGGATCACGCAGAAACTCATTGTCTTGACACCCCTGGCGTTCGAAGCACTGCTCTTCCTCGTGGGTACCAGTACCGCAGATGTTTCTGGCCCAACCCCGGTTCAACACGATTTCTCGCTTGCTGAAATGGTGGACCAAATGGTACTCCTGAACCCGCCGCAGAAGACGTACTCGCTTTTCGCCGACATGATCCTCTCCGCCTCCATGAGCGGCGGCCTCGAGTCTACCGAGCCGTCCCAGCCGTCCGGGCCAGAGTCTTCGACTCCGACTGTGCTACTGCCAGTCTCGACAACGACGAATCTGCTCGCGAAGCTGATATCCGGGTTGCGAAACCACCCGGATTACGACAGCAACCGGGCCGCGAGATGGATGAGGTGTATGGTTCAAATCGTTCTCGACCGCAGGCGAGATTCGCGACCCCAAAATCAGTATCAGTCCGGGAAGAATCTGAGCACCGTGGCGAGAATCACCGAGCATGCCCTGGACCTGGCAACGTCCGCTGCTTCTTCTGCTGCCGCCGGCGGGAACGACTACCCACCGGAAGAACTGGAGTGGCTGGCCGTCACGTTATTCAATCTCGCCATCGATCTCTACGCCTTACCACCACCACTACCAGCAGCGTCATGCTCAGCCTCGGACTCTGCACCAGCCGACCACGACGAGCATATCCCGGAACACAAAAACAACAAACACAAGAACAAAAATCAAGGCAGCAGCAGCAGTAGTAGCAGTGGTGAGATAGTTACGCTGCCGCAGTTCTGGGCGAGGAAAGCCGTGGCTGTCGCGGACGTTCTTGTCATGATGAATACCGCGACCGCGAGGGCCGGAGTCGGAGATAGCGACGTTGGAGCCCTCGCAACAGTCCTCCGAGAAAGATGCCAGAGACTGCACTGGGACGTGTGATGCGGTCTTTCCAACTCGCGCGGAAAACCTGGGCGGGATGGGATGGGATGGATCGGGGACAAAAGCAGCCGTCATGGGGTCCGGTCGTTTCGAGTAAATAAATATTTCGAGCTACGGCCTACGAGGACAAAATGGAGTTTTTCTTTGGGAATGTGAGTGAGATGCTATCCTGCTGTCGTACTATCGTGTCTATTTAACCCTCGGTCAGGGTCTCGAGCCGACTGTTTGTACAATACTAGCATTTGTCTTGTCCTTCTGAGGATCTTGCAGGACAAGCGGAAGATAGAAGACGATCATGTTCACATAGTGCCAGCCAGCTCTCTGAGATGATGTAACTTGCAGGGGGGAAACAAAGATGTGCGTGCTGTCTTCCTAGGTGTGTCGGTGTTGGTGTCGGGTTTCTCTTGATAATGTCCAACATTTAATGACGAGTGTTCATTCACATTCCATTGATTGTTGACCGTTTTTCATATTTTGCCCTGCTGTGTGTGTAATTGGTGTGGCGGACATATTGGTTGAAATAAAGCAGAGCCTCTGTGAACACACACCCTCTAACCTCTTCGCAATGGCTCTCGGAAGATGTTGCAGGGGGGTTGACTTGGGCTTTTTTTTCCGTGCGTCTTCCATCAGGGCGGAACGGCACTTTTTTTGTTCTCTTGGTGTTCTTTTGTTCCTTTTCGAGATTGACAAAAGAGTCTCGTAATCAGTAATCAGTAATCCACCCTTAGCGATCCATGTCTTGTCCAACGCGACATTTTCGTCGTCAAAAGTTTGGGTAAATTCAAGTGGGTATCTTTGAAGAAGTGGAATAAAGGGCATAAAGTATGTAACGCAAAGTGATTTTGCACTGGTTGAAAAGCGTATCGTAAAGCGGTCGTCATCTCGTTCACTTCCATTTGGTTGCCAGGTGCGTGGTCCGACTCTGGCCTTCCGAGTATTGGACTTCTGGCATGGTCCTGTGGCCCAGTTATCGCTCATGGTGAAGGTACACGGCCGGGACTGCACTGGTTCAGCAAGAGTGCATTCGTTGCCCCTGACCGGTCATTGGTGCCAGTCGACAACGTCACTGAACAAGAGCGTCCCTGATCCGCTACCTGGACCACTGACTGGCCTCCCAGTCACAGAGTCCAGTCCGAGCTTTGCTCTTAGCTCCTCAACCCGTTCCTTTACGCGCTGCACTTTGGCCACGACAACCTCTAGCTTCTTCATGGTACTCTGCTTTCCCATTTCTTCAAGTTCTGGGACTAGGTCGTACAATTCCGCGTAAGCACGGGCAGTTGCATCCCGACGTCGTTGCTCCGAGTTCGTGTGATTGGCTTTCTTTTGCTCAATACTGAGTGGCACTCGGGTAGAAGTGATACTGGGACGATGGACCTTTGGGACCTTTGACTTGGATTTGATTGGCGTTGATCCACTTGCATTCACCTTCTTCTTTCGGGAGGGCTTAGGTGGGGGAGCCTTTGTATTTCGAGGTGGACGAGCTTTCGATGCGGGCCAAGGTGCTGGGGAAGGTGATCTGGACTGTTCTGCAGTGTCATGTTCGTCCTCCCCTTCGGCTTCCACGTCGGTATCTGGCTCCTGTTCGCCCATTCCTGAATTTCCGGCGTTGAGGGGGGTTTGTGGTTTGCTACTGGATAGCGGTGTTGGAGGCTGGGATATTGAAGTTCTTGTTTCGCTTTTGACAACAGAGCGCTTCCTCCGAGAACTAGATTGCGGTGGAGCGGGTTGCACCATGCTAGCTTGTGGAATCGAGGCAATCAAGCCATTGCGAGGTTGATCTCTGATAAAATCATCAAAATTTCTCTTCTTTGACCACGTCGGACTCGACGGCTGTGTGTTTGGCTGCGTGTTAGGCTGGGTCGTGCTTCCGCTTGTCGGTTCCAACCATTCGCCGATGGGGTTGTTCATCTGTAGTCCTTGCGGCAGGTCAGAATCCATGGGATTATGAGGAGCAGCATAGCCACTAGGTTGAAACCGGGAATCAGAGCCGAAAGACATGTCTAGACGGCCTGCTGGTGGTATCCTGACTGCAGTCGGAGGTGGATAGGGCTGTTGCCATCCTTGGGTGTAGGCCGGTTGCATCGATGCGGCTGACTGCAGTTGAGCCATGAGGGGATTTGGGAATGTTGTATCATTGTATGAAACGCCGTGCATTCCGCGGACCAGCGGATTTGTCTGTGAGACCGTGGTCATGTCATGTCCCAAAAAGCCATCGCCGTAAGGAAACCCAGCTCCTGTTAGCTGATGCTGGTCGATGATAGACCGTTGTGCCAGCGCAGTGTCCGAGCCAACGAATGTTGGCGGCATGTCAAAGAACTGGTCATGATCGGTGCGGGGATTGTAGTGAGCATGCGTAAGGACTTTGTTGGTGGCAGCATTCTGATCAAAGCCCTGGAAGAAGTTGTCCAGATCTTGATTTTCATGTGCGTTGAGCAAAGGTTGGCCCGGGGGAGGACCTGGGGTCATAAACTCGGGTAAACCAATTCCATGAAGATTTTCAGGTTGGTCTGGGGAGTAGACGTAAGCAAATGAGTCTTCAAAGAAGGAGGGAAAGTAGGTAGAGGGATTGGTAAGAAAGGTGTAGGCCGTACAGCCGAAAGGGAAGTTCTGTTGTCCGCCATGGGACGACATTCTTTGAATCGCCAACATCAATCACGCGACGCCTCCACCTCTTCTCCTAGGCTGCTCTAAGGCAGCCTAGACTTGTGGGAGATAACCAGTGATTGTTCGCCAGGAGATAATGTTTTGTGCAGGGTAGAAAGGTGTCGTTGCGCGGGTGGGTTAGATGGCGCGGAAGATCGCTGTTGAGGTGAGGGTGAGATAACGAAGGACGGCTCTTTCGGTATAGACGACGGGGTGAAAGGAGGAGACAGCAGCCGTCAAACGGTAGACCGCATGGAGTCGAGAACGCAGGTTGCAGGTAAAGTTGAAAGAGGGTCTGAGAGACAGTTGGAGGATCTGTTGGGAAGTGTTGATGCGGGCTGGACAACGGGCCGAGAAGCTGGCAAAATACGGTAAGAGGCGGCAGTCATGAGGTGCAGCGAACAAGATGAGGTGAGGATGAAGACAGTGGTGGCTATGGAGCCTTCTCAATCTCTGGTACAGGTTGACAGAGAGGATATGGTGACAGAAGGCTGAGAGCAATGCAATGGAAGGTGCTACAGGAATTCAATCTTTCACATGCGATTTCCAGGTCGTGGATTTTGCGAGCGCAGTTCGCAGGTGAAAAAAGCGACAACAAGCCGCAGCTGCTCACCATCCATCCACCCACTGCCACCCACCATCCCGCATGCTGCATTAATACCAATCCCGGTTCGTCGTCTCGTCGGACCAATCATTCCAACAAGACCCGCTTCTCTGTATCAAGGGGTCTCCTCAACCTCCACCTCACCAATGCCCGAGCCTTCAAGCACCAGACCCGACCACGAGGTTGTCCATGGGGCTTGGTCGGACGATCCCTATCCACATGATGAGAGACGATGATCCGGGGCCAGGTACTTCGCATACCGAGGACGAACCGTAGCACGATGACGGGGTATATTGGATGCTACAATAACAATCTTGACGTCTTACCACAGTCGATCAGGGGTGAATAGAAACTAATACATACATTCCGGAGGGCATCGTCTATGGGCCATGCCACCAAACCCTCAAAAGTCCAAAGCCGCTCTCCAAAATCAACCTGTCCGCATCTCGCTTCGGCCTTATCGATATGCCAGACCCCAAACGCCTTGCGCCCCATCCGGCCCCTTTCTCATCCATAACCCGGACTGATGTTTGCCATCCGACATGCGCACGACCACTGCTCCATTCCCAGCGATCCATTCCATCAATATATTCCCCGTCAGTCTATCCGAAAGAACCAAAAACAACATCCAAATATGTCCAAGCATCTCTCCCCAAGTAAATACCCTGATCTTCCAGAGGCTGCCACCATCCAGCTCCCTCGTCATTCGTGTGGCGAACCCTACCTTTCCTGACTCAATAACCGAGGTCATATTCTCCCAGAACTGGATGAATTCATCTTCAGTCCACAAGGCGTGATTTGAGGTCTTTGAAGGCAGCACACCTGCGCCACCACCGCGTTTCTTGCGCGCCGTGGATCCTAGTAGTTTTAGTGTTACTCGAGGTCGTCTGGATTCTTTCACGACGCTCTCTTCTGCTATTTTGATGTAGAATTGCCAGTAACCGCGCTCGAGGACTTTGACGTCTCGACAAACAAATGCTGGTCGGAAGTGCTTAAGCGCGGGTGCCTCCCCATGCGTCAGCCTCTTCAGGGTTTTGGTAATATGCGTCGTGAATTGCGACTGCCCACCATTGGGATATGGGGCTCGGGCCTCTGCAGGCAACAGTCTTACCTGGTGATGGTCTTGCTGAAGAATTGTAGCAGAGTCGGCGTAGTTGGCAACCGGCGACGCTCGCGGTCGCGAACTTCTCACCAGCACTTTGCGGTTACGGGCGCCAGCATAGGCTGGGCTGCTGTGGCGATCAGGACTTGTAAGATCGATTATGCTGCCAGTTTCAACTTGCTTAGACTGGCGCGCTTCCACACCAAAAGTACCATAGAGCCTCCGGGCGGACGACGACACCGACTCTGTAGAACTTGTTCCATGGCCGCCAGAAGTTCTGTCGACAAGGTCGTCGATAGAGTCGCCATTGCCAGAGTCAGTTTCCGTCCGTGGCTTCTTTCGTCTTCGCTCTCCATGTGCAGACACCGACCCTGGTTGTGTCAATGATCTCCCAGGCCGAGACTGTGAACGAGAGGCAGATATAGCTTTCACATCTTGTGGAACCACATTCGGAGATTCGGACTGCAACCTGGAACGCGTGGCAGACGATGTGCTAACAGAAGAAGTCTCGGAAGAGGCTCGTCTGGGGCTCATGCCAGCTCGAGGTAGTTCAATCCGATCGCCGGTCGAAGTCAGTTCAGGAGCAGTGCTCGGGCGAGGCAGGATTGGTTGACGAGAGGAGGAACTCCTATTGCAAAGTAAGTCTTCCTGTAGTCGTGCGAAGTAATCTCAAGGTACGAATACGCATGTCCAGGTCCTAAGCCACTGGACCATTCCAATAAATATCACATTGCGCTATTCTGCAAACGTCGGACACCAACCTAGTATCAATGAGTGAATCACTTTCATTGTCACCATCGGACCCCTCCCCGGAAAAAGAAACCAGTGAAGAGGAATCGGTACCCGAAACTCGGGTAATTATGGCTGGCCTGAAGTCCAGAACGGATTGAGCGATGGCGATGTAGCGTATGTCATCTCGCGCAGTGCTCGGAGCACTGATATGAACTAGGAGTTCATTCTCGACCGCTGCCATTGTAGGAACAGGGCGCGAATCTTGCCCATTTTTGGCCAATGGAGGAAACCCGGTGTCAAAGAGAAGATAGCAGAAGTTGAAGAAGGGAAGATGGCAGTGCAGAAAACAGCTTTCACATCTACAGGGAGCCAATCCACCGTCCACGATTCGCGAGCGTGAACGAGCGAATGTTGGTGTAGCAACGTGGCGCGTCCTCATCGGTTTGGAGGCAAAATTCCAAATTCCAAATTCCAACCAAATCAGGACTGTGGACCGAAGAAAACGCAATCCAGGGCACCAATCACGGCCTGATGACCACTTCACTTGGTGCGCATGAGGCACGCATGTCTGTACGTATTAATTAATCAGTGTCCCGCTGTCTGTCTCTCGTCCGCCTCTTCCTACTGTCGAGTTATAAGTCTGGCCTCGAGTCCTTTTTTCTGTCGCTGCTAATGCCTTGCAGCAGATCCTTGGTCAATGCCATGTCCTGTACTGAGTGCCTGGTAGGTTGTCCGGAGTTTGTTCCAACCAAGTTCTTCTCACCAGGTGATCGATTTTCCCATCTGAGTATCTGTTTACCACCACTCGCTGGCTTGTTCTCGATGAGCTTCAGGCTTCTAGCTAGAAGCGTTCCCCGTCGGTTGTGGACTACCGTGATGGAGCAACAAGCATATGGTTCCACGGCATCAACACAGCAAATCAAGCTTGGGTTGATAAAATCAGATTCGAGTGCGTGTCATTTACGCCTCTAGCAGCAGCTTGAGGCACTCCCATACTGCGTCCTAGGCACCTGCGTCTCCACGTTGATGACTCGGATGGAAGGGCTTGGTTTAAGAGATGTCAGTGAACAACTGCGAGATTGATAACTGGATGATCCTCGAAATGGTCGAGAGTGCTATAATTACCACCCTTCCTCAATCTCCATCGCTGATTTGACAGGTACGGTGGGTTACTTGACTGTGCTGATACCCAAGCTAGAAATAGCACTTTGAACGCAGCTGCGATTTTCACCATAAACCGAGTGCCTCATATGCCTGGAAATTGAAACCTGGCTGCTAACTCGGATACGGGCGATCAAAGCAAGATCCTTGATAACACAAAACGGCCGTCCACTGCCTCTTCTGGTAACTTTTCGCAGCGGTGGATGATAGCCGCGCGACATAGAATGCTTGAGCAGGAAACATACTTGTCACTGGACCAGCGGATCACGACAATGAACACTGTACAACCAGATTGGTGCAACAGAGCGCGGAAGCAAAAGGGTTCTCTTTCTGAGACGTTGACGAAGGACCGACGGAACAATGTGACAACCCGCCGTCGGCGACCGGGGAGGTTGGAATACTCAGGGGAATCAAATATGAGTGGGTGAATGAAGGCAAGGGACAGCTGGTAAGTGCATTTTACAGAGTAGTCAACAAGATGGCACATTGGAAGGTTGATGTCGGTGCGCGATTGAATGTTTCCAGGATGAAATTGGATGGTGGCACCGTTGCTGAACACTTCAACCGCATTCCTCTCCTGTACCTCTCCTCGACTCAGGTGTTGCAAGCTCTACAATTCCACCGGATCCGGCAGACATGCCTGTGTGAAGACGACAAAAACATTCTTGTTGTTATACATGGTCAGTTGCCTGGAAAGGGACCGGATGTGATTACCGCTGCGGCTTCTCACAGGGCCAAGTGGGTTCTCTGGGGGCTTTGTCCGGGCTAACCAGGGCTCTTCTTTTACCTGGCGAGTTAGGCGTCACTAGCCTCTTTTGGCACTCATTAGCGGGAACAGTTGACGCAATGACTGCCCACGAGGGTCCAGCGTGGGTCTCCAGGCACTTACCAGGCACTTACCTAACCATGCATGGGGGCCCATTGTGCTTATTACTCTGGCGTGCCTGACCGATTTACTGCCATCCAAGCCTAGACTCAACCCACCGGTGCCACTCCTCTCGCCTGGAACCGTGTTTCCTTCCTTGGACCCGCGGGCATGGCCGGCAGAATGAATGACCTTGGTGACCTGATCTTTGCTGGACTCTTCTCCCAAGTCCCAAGGCTACAAGTGCTTATACCCATACAACCCTTACTGTGGCTGTGCTTGCGACAAGGTTATTTGATGGACTTTGCGTGAGTTATGCCCTTTCTGACCTTCTCAGTGGCTTCGGGTGCTGACAGAACATCTCAACCCCACAAGGCGAGAAAAGAATGATAAAGGACAAAAAGCATTGCCTCTTCTCTCCTCTTCCGCAAACCTCCATCGTGTTCATCGACTCGACGACGTATCTACCTCTCTACCGCCTTCAATCCACCTGCGCATCCGATCGCAACACAGGTTGCACGGCTCGCGTCCGTCCTGCGTTGTCTCCCCCAAACGTGTAACGCTACATCCCACTATCTAACCATCCTCCGACACCCGTCCCCCCCCTTCTCGCCAATCGTCAATCATCCTCACCTGGAGAAACACTTGGTCGCCTCCTCCCCGTATTCCGTGGTGCAGCACAAAGACAAAGCTGTGGCCCCTGCAGGAGAATTCTTCCACGGCTCGAGACCCTTACAACCCTGCGTGCCTGCACCCGCCGCTTCAAGATCCCCCGTTGAGGCGATATAGACCCCGCCAGCCTAGGTATACTTACACATAAACACTCCACGATCCAGCCAACCAATTGCTCTTTGGCACAAAGGAATCAACGAGTCTCTTAGCCCGCACAAGTACAAGTACAAGAGCATCCACCCATCACCATCCCCAGTCTAAAGCGGCGGATTAGACCGTCCAACTCAGGGTCCTTTGTCCTCTGGTGCCCACCCACTCTTCTGTGCTTCCGGTCTCGAATCTCCAGCAACTGCGCCATCGCGGCCAGGGTGTGAGAGCTTCGCATCGACCCGGTTCCGCCTCTGCTTGATCACGCCGCTTCAGTTTCAGCTTTCAACGTCCTTCCCCTCCACCTTTCAACCTTTTCGAACACGTCTTTTCCTGCCATCATCGACTACAACCGCTGTTGGTTCTTCCTTCCGTCGCGCATCACTCTCTAGTAAAGCTACGACGCAATTGTTGCACAGATTTTCCATACCCCGATCAGCAATCTTGTCCCGCCATAAAATATTGCCTTGCGCTCGACCCCTCCATCCAAGTTTCTGCTGCACCCACATTGGATTTTCACAGCGCTTTCACGACCTTGTCTCATGATTAGTCTCAGGACGGCATGCTAATTGCGACATCCTCAACACAATCTCCTCGTCATTGCCTTTTGACTCTCCGTCCTGGTCTACACGATTGCGTGGCCTTTCGGTAAACGAGAAACAAGCCTCCATCCTCGACTAACTCTGACCGGCTCACGCCAATTCCGAGCTTCTACGGTGGTCAGCTTTGTTACAACCGGACAACAGAGTACAGGGCTTACCCTGACCTTCTATTTAACGATTCGCAAATCAATTTATCTCATGATCAGAGAGGGTTGCTGGAGGTAGTCTATCAATATTATCATCATCGTGCCGCAGTTTGACTGCATCTTAACATGCAACAACCACCCGACATGGATCCGTCGAATTGGACCGGTCAAGATTATGCGCCTGGATCTTCCTACCGTAAGTCGCTGCAATCTCTCTCCCGGTGTAATGATCGATGATGGCTCTCCTCAAGCATTACATGCTTGATATGCTATCGTAGGACCTTTCGCTGGGGAAACGCAAAGAATGTGAATGGATACTCTGATCAAACACGGGCGGATCAACCTTCGTACTCGGTTCAATTGATGATCTTGTAGCTAACTCGGCCTCGATATCAGACAATGGGGTTCCGAGCGAAGCAAAGGCACACGGCGGCCCCGTAAACATGGGCTTTCTCAAAGGGTTCGGCGGGATGCAGAAGAGGATCACTAGAGGTGAGCCACATTGATTTTTCCCTATCTGGGCATTTGGGCTGATCATGGCTAGATGGGCAACCGGCCAAGAGAAGAGGTCCGAAACCTGACAGTAAACCAGCGCAGACGCGGCGACAGGAGCTCAATCGGCAAGCTCAAAGGTGAGTAGAGTCCTTTTGTACCTCTTGCGCTTTTTGCTAAGGCGGCTGTCTGCTAGAACACACCGTGAACGAAAAGAGAATTACATCAAAGCCTTGGAAATGGAGCTTGCACGTCTGCGCGAAGTTTTCGTCTTCGAACAGAATACGCGAGACGCAACCATCCAGCAGCAAAAGTCGATGATTGAGAATCAGCAACGAGAGATTCTGGCGTTGAGAGAGGTCCTAACATCTCGTGGAATTGCATTCGAAAACGAACTCGAGAACAGGAAAGCTATGCTTGCCCTGAAACCGAAGCGAGAGGAAAAGTCCATGACCCCTCCATCGCTGAATACTTTGAGTCCCCCATCCGTTGGCCCCAGATCCGTCGGTTATGGAAGTGCTGTGACGGGGCATGCTTCCGTGACAAGCGGCTATTCCCCACAAGCATACCTCAACGGTGGTGCCTTGAGTGTGTCAGGTCACTCACCAGGGACAACCCACTACGCCAGTTCGCCTCAAGGGCCAGAAATCCAAGAGTTCGGCATCAAACAAGAAGAAGGAGCCACACCAGACATGCCGGGTATTTTCGAGAGAGAAC